AAAATCTGGCTTCTACATATGTCATTACCAAGAAATTTTATCATTCACTCCACACAACAGATGTTAATGTAATGAAATTTTTTATATACCAGGTCCTCATGGGACCCTTTAAACAAACTGGAATTTCAAACATAACTATGAATGAGGATTACCAGAATATAAATTAGTTTGCTTTGTTAAACTCTTATGAAATATTTTCTTTCACTCGACCTCTAGAAACTTATGTCAAGTAAATATGAGATTATGTACTATTAACTAATTAATAGAAACGCATGGATGAATCTTATTCTATGGAAATAAGCAATTATTGTACAATGCCAAAAATAGACCTGCCTGAAAGGGTTTTATATATTTATAGCGGGATGTGCGATAGACTTACCTCCACGTGGTGCACCCTGGGAAGCGTACACACATGCGGTAAAAAGGGTCTATAACCTGGCAGTTGACTTCTGACTTCAAACTACATTCACCCTACTGTATTTCATATTCCAAAACTTCCGTAATACTCACTTCATCTTTTTCTACCTTTGTGTCTGTCTCTTTTACATCTTTGAAACACTCTTCTGTTCCCCCCCCCCTCTCAACTTTTTGTGACTTTGATGTTCCTCCCCTCTGTGAAGCCCAAAGTCATCTAAAGGGATAATGATAACTATCATAAGTTTGCCATTTGAAATAAATGAATAGTCAAAATTTGACTGAAATGTCTTGTAGCGGATTCCCCACATATAAGCCTAGACTAAACCTCAATAGTCTAACCCAAATAACCTAGTAAGCAGTTATTCTTAAAACTAGCTATGATACCTCAACTTTATCAAGAAAACTGAGAGTACAGAGCAAAGTACGTTTATTATTTTTGTGTGCCAGTGACACAGAGCTGAGGTGTCCATGCAATTACTGCCATACCAAGTGGCAAATACTATGGTCGCACCTTCGAGACTCTTTGAGTACGCATGAGATTTCTTTGTTCAGCCATGGTAGCGTTGTGTACTCCACAGCTCGCATTTAGCCACTGAAGTTGAAGGATTATAAGCACATAACGATATAATGAGGCTAAATCCCATATCTCATTTCATAAGAAGAGATTGTCCACTAGAATTATATTTTAACCTTTAATCTCATTATAGTCGGGTTTGTTTTAGAATAATATTGTTTATAAATATTGCAGTATGGGTGTTCATTAAGGTCTGTTTGAGTATATCTTATTTAACACAGCAAGTAGGGGAGTCATAACGCTTAAAGATGAATTTTTATGACCCACGTCGAACGCCTACTGGTTTAGTAATCTTCTTCAGAATTACACATTGTAATTTAGAGACATGGAAAGTGCCAGGATGTTGAAAGGGGCTATACAGCTTGCAATGATGCATACTATTTTAGGGAGTTGAACATGGTTCCAAAACCCAGTGCCATTGTTTTCAAGAGAGGAAGAAGTTGATCATAGTAATATTGGCCACAATGGCAATTCCATCTATTTGCCCATAATTCAAGTGCATGCACGAGCGACACTGCATATGCACAGCATTGTGGCAATCAATAAGCTGCACTCTTGATTTGCACCAGCATTCTAATAAATTAGTTTGCGGTCTAACACCCAACTTTTAATACTCGAAATTTAGTGTGAGGAAAAAACGATTTTCAATTTAATTAAGACTTGTTTTCTACAAAGTTTCCGGTCTCTTATTCAGAAAATATACTTGCCATATTATGAAGAATACCGGAGACGTGCTAATCTTGTCAACAATGACTTCATTTTGAATTCCACTCTGAAACAGTTTTACCGTTAAAAGATCAGAATGTACTTTGATGAAAATGGATATCAGGAATAGTGTAATGAGTGAGACCAAAAAATTAATGAAATAGCATACAGACAGAAGACAAGTATGAATCGTTGTACACACACACATAGGGACGTATTAAGGGCACTTCACACGGACACAGGCAGTCAGACTTTCTTGTCCGCCTTTCTAAAGATGCATCCAATGTCCCGTTAATTAGGCAAGTGGGCTAATGCAATGGCCAGCTGAAGTGAGCAACAAAACCCATATTAGTATCTACGGTCAAGATTGAAATAATTGACCGCAGGTGACTAGGTTAGCAATAAATTATTAAACTCAATATCCTTATCTTATGCTATTTTTCTTGTTCAAATCAGCAATAACCCTTAACTAATTTCATTATGTTAAAAATTTACAGTTAAACCTTCATTTTTCCTAAAGAATATGCTACACTCTGTTAGATTTTCTATACTTGTGTCTTATCATGCGCTTGAGCGGTAACTAGGTTTAAGCTAACACCAGCCAGCGCATTAACAGTAGCATCCTAATTGCTATAAACTGCCACAAAGGGGTCAGGGTCCTTGTATGAAACAGGTCATAATTCTTTCAAGAATTGGTCACATTATATTACCTGAAATTGCTATGGAATATAAATTTCCATGCAAGACATTTTAAAAACTCATCAAAACAAGTGCTATTAAATTAAGCGACCAATTAGGAGGACTCATTTTTTCTAGTAAATTTAATTATAAAATGGTGGTTTACTAGAGTTAATTGATTCACGTAGCATTGATCATTGAAAAGTAAGCATTTTTTGTAAGTAAAAAGTTATAGGATCATGCACACCTGTTCTGAATTTCGATCATGAGACATGCCAACTATCCCTGGTTGCTTTGGTGTGCTTGATGATAACAAAGGAACCCCATTTGTTTAATAGTTATTGGCGTCCTTCTCTAAGGTTGAATATTTGCATTTCGCACAGAATTCTATAACTTTGAATATAAGCTGCTTACTTTGAATGTGCAATTGTGTTGAATTTTTCAACAAGTTTATTGGCATTATCCTTCTAACGTGAATAGCCCCTAAATTCTGAACACAAGTAGAGTATTTAAGAGACAATTTGGTAAGAGATTTATCTTCCCTCACCACAATTTATTCCTTTCTTTTATTTTTTGGACATTTAATTATTTAGAAGTTTAAGTTTAAACAAATCTTGTGGTAGCACGAATCTCCCTTCCCTCTGTTCATGCATTGATTGGAGTGCTGTCTACTTCCACCCCCCCCCCCCCCCCCCACCTCCCTAGTACCGCATCTTCCAAGGCTCCTGCTATGTGAGTAAATACTATCGTAAGTAAAAAGACAATCATTTCGTTAAAAAATTAACAAATAAAAATAAAAATATATAATTAAAATTCAATAATTCTTATCGTACATAGGAGGCATGAAGTTTATTTCCCACCCTTGATCTCCCTTCCCAGCCAATCTAGACCTTCAAAAATGCCTTCTCCATTGACAGCACACGTCGCCTGCACATACCATTTTCTGCTTGGAGGGAATTTGTGCAAACCCAAGCCTTCGGTAATTTCTGTTGCACTCATGGCATTTGGAAGGTCCTGAAAGATAAATTAGCCAATCAGGTGCTTATGAGTTGATAAACAGCATTGCAGCATGATAGTGAATGCCATACCTGCTTATTAGCTAAGACAAGAAGAATTGCACTTTTTAGTTCATCTGCTTCTAACACTGCCCATAGCTCCTCTCTCGCGTCCCCCAACCTCTCCCGATCGTTGGAATCAACAACAAATATTAAACCTAGAAAAAGTGAAAGTAATTTCATCATAGCATTGGGCATTAGAGAGAAATAATTTTCTACCAAAATTGGTATTTCTCCAATGCATTAATTAGCATAAATTGTATCCTCCAATAATGCATGATATTTTAAAGAATGATATACGAATTAACTTCTAATAAGGAAAAAAATTAAGTTAATAAATGAGTAAAACATGATCAATACCAACGAATAAGTAATAGTTAAGTCAAGATAAAAATTTTTAATAAAATCTTTAAGAATACAACGTATATTTAAACC